CAGAAGGGCATACTATTGCTGACAGCACAGGTAGTTTGCCGGGTTAACACATAAGTGTGCATTGCAGGGAACTTGGTGGTGACAAGTGGTGTTCTGGTACCGTTTTATACATTGAGTGATGTGGGCCGACAGCACTGAGGACCAACCCACCACATCTAGTGGTGACCTGCAGGTTGCGGCATTGAAATCCCGGCCGCGGTGGCAGTCTCGATGCAGCACATTGGAATGAAAGAAAAAGGATGAGTGCACTATACAATGGGACGGCGTGTCATAACGCAAAATAGCTCAATCGGCCGCTATCAAGCAAGGTATCAAATAAGAATAAACAGCAAACAACAAAATGGAGAAGGTGAATTAAAAGAAACCATGCTAAGTTGTCAATACACTGTAATGTTGCTAATTAGACGAGTCGGAGCAAGAAAAGTACGGTTAAAGTCTAGAAACGCGCGCGACTACACTTTCTGGAAGCTAATAGCAGTTTCTTGAGGTGCCTTCTGGGAGAACCTCATAGGGTACTGCAGTAATTTGCTGTAAAACCTTGTAAGGCCCGAAATAGAATCATAGCCCAAAAACCTTCCCCGAAAATATGTCTGTGCCCCAACGGGTGTTTCATAAATGATATTTTTACTGGTAGATGTCTGAAAACAGGTATATTTACAATAATTACAGTCACAGTAATGCAGGTAAAAACAACTACGATAGCGAGAGCAGGCACCACCTAGTCCTTCACTTTTTCGTCCTCTCTATGTGAGCGGCACATAACGTTACCCTCCGGCGGTGAAGGCACCGACTCGGTGCAGTCAGAGAAAGACGGTATAGAGGTGGTTATTATACATGTGCGTTGCGGCAGCCCGGTGTATGACATGACTTCAGACGTACAACGTAAACGATGTTGGTACGGGGTTGAGTTGACGAGGACAAAGACAATTCAATTTCTTATGTCACGACGGTCACTTGGTGGTGCATAGGGTACGGTTCGGAGGGCGGGAACAGTAGCTTTGTGAAAAGCCCAATACAGCGTGCTGGAGACCACAGCACAGGAATCCTGGAGGAAAGTGAGTGTTTATATGACTGCTCTCGTAACGAAATCGTTGGTCCGCTTGAGAGTTGGTTAGTCGAACGCACACAAGTTGACGTGTATGGTCGGCATGGGCTATAGCTTATCGAGCGTATTCAGTGGGTGGACATGTTGAAGGAGGTATCATTGGTGTCCATAGGCAACATTGGATTTCAGTCAAATAAAATAAAGGCGAACAGCCAGCTGCCTCGTGTTACGTTGTATATGTTGCACAAGACTAAGACATCTTGTATGTAAACCATGTGCAGCTCCTTTGAGGTTTGGGCACGGCACGAGAGTTCTTTCTCTTGGCGTGCAATGTGCTTTCCAAAAAGGTGTTTCATTTTTTGTTTACATACGTCTTTTTTTGTTACGTACGTTTAAATTCTCCTCGTGTGTGTCGAACCACACGCTGGCCCTACCTCTGAAGTAGTACCTGACATTTGTAAGCATCAAAGTCGAATCCCAGTGATTGGTCTTGCTGCTGCACTCTTAGTTGGCCAGCCACTTCTCCACCTGACTTATCAGTCCCGCAGAAGGGGCCTGGGCCTCGTAGGTGGGTCACGACAATGTGACTGGGTGCATTCGGCATAGCGGGGGCTGGATCAGCAGAATTGTCTGCCGGCGTGATGGACTGTCCGAGAATACGCCCGCTGCGAAGTTCCGTTGTGTGCTCCTGATGTGCCCAGCACCTCCACCAAAGATGTTACAGGGAGATGACAGAAAACGAGTGTATTTACAATATTCACAGTAACAATACTGCGGGTAAAAACAACCACGATGGCCAGGACAGGCACCACCTAGTCTTCTAACTTCTTCGGTTTCTAGGTAAGCGGCACATAACAATACTGTCAGTGTCGTGGTTTTGGGACATTAACCCCCCCCCCGCCACTCAAAAAACGCAATTGAAGAGCTCGTTACTCCTGACGGTAAGGCGAAACAAAAGTCGCTCATGGTGGAATGGCACAATGTTACTGCACAACATTGATGAGTATCTGATTGTGACTTGTGAGGGCCACACCTGGTGGATCCAAGAGACTAGTGGGATTAGTGGGCACCATTCTTTAACATCAGCTTTGACAAGGCTGTATGCATGATACTGAGGTAGTAGTGCAGAGCCAAATGCTTCTGCCTGTGGCTAAGGTGACCAATTGTAAGGTTATGATATTACAGCTAATGCGAGGAGTCGTTCTCGCTTTGGTTCAATCAGAGATGAAGCATCAAGTGCAGCGGTGGCGATGAGCTGCTCCTTCGCTTAGATTTAGGTGCACTTTAAAGAATCCCATGTAGATGGCCTAATTTGATCCGAAGTCACCCACTGTGGGCTCCGTCGCGGTGGTCTACTGGCTAAAATACTTGGCTGCGGACCCGCAGGCCGTGGCATTGAATCCCGGCTGTGGTGACTACATTTCCAATGGAGGTGGAAATGGTGTAGGCCAGTGTGCCCAGATTTGGGAGCCCGTTAAAGAACCCCAGGTGGTCGAAATTTCCGGAGCCCTCCACTACGGCGTCTCTCATAATCATATGGTGGTTTTGGGACGTTAAACCCCACATATCATCAGTCACCCACTGCGGTGTGCTTCACAATCATATCATCGTTTCGCCACATAAAACCCTAGAAATGATGTTTGAAACCAAGTTGGCTCTGTGCCTAGAACTGTCGTGAGCCCAGTTGGTGGGAGGCAGCTGCCATTCAGTGCAGCCTTGCACCAGGCACATTTTTCTCTATGCTGTGGCTCAAAGAATGGGGCCTCTTCTTTGCTCTCTTGGCAGCTGGCTCAACTGCTGGGCGCCCTGTAGGGACCCTCTTGGACCCCCTTGTAAGCCCTGGCCTACGCCTAGCAGTTCTGGTCGGTTGCACCCTTATGTGACGGGTCCGGCGACGTCTTGCTGCAGCGGTAGCCTTGAATGCAAGCATCAGTCCTGTCCCATCGCTGCTGTTCTGAACACGAGCAAGCTCCTCTGCAAGGCCCTTCACGATATCAAGGTAAGCTGGATTGTGTGCATTCATAGAATGCACACGCCGCAATTGGACCTCCAGGAACTCATATGCATGTTCTTGGGCCTGCCCCAAAAGTGATGAAAGGAATATACTTCACGTGTACAGCACACCAACAAGAACTGCACAATTATTTGTCTCCTCTCTAACTGCAGACAACTGCTCGGGAATAAAGTTCAAGCTGAGGAGCCAGTTTAAGTTAAGTTTTTCCTGTCACCTGTTTTGACTATTCTGCTACTGGAAGTGCTGCTAATACCAACAATTTTGGTGACCTGTAGTCCCAAACATGGAACAATACGACACCGGTAGTGTTGAAATCTTGAAATCGCCCTCAGAATGATGACATCCACTAATATGAAATTTTAAATTCGTTAGTGCGGTGGAGCACAATAATATGCTTACAGGAATAAAAGAAGCCTTGACTACTGTTCAGTAGCATTCCCTATGTTTAATTGAAAAGTATTTCAGGGCCCTTTCAAGGGGCTTGTCCTACCTGGGCAAGTTGGGCTGCATCAGGCACCGACGGTACAGGTGCGAGGTGTGTGGCCTCTTGCGTGCTGGTGCCTTGCATTGCTTGGAGTTCGTCTGGCTCCTCCTGCTGGGCACTGGTACCTGCCGTGGTTCTGGAACTACTGCTGGGCTCCTCCTCTTGGAAGGGTTCGAAAAATATCCTGGGGGGACACTTCTCGCCCAGGGCCAGCTGTCCCAGTTGGTACCGGTCGTCAGTACTCAGTGCCGGAGCATTCGGAAACAGTCCTCCGTACTTTTTCTGCACCAAAGCCTGGTGCTTACAAAATGCACCTTGTTTACCAAAAGACACGTACATAGTCCTATGTCAGCATAGACCTCATAACTGGAGCTGGGGTGGGTCGCACTAGGCACAATGTACTGTCCCTGGCCTACCACATGGATGGCCTCGGCTGCGTCTTTCGGCATTCTCGATAGCAGCCGCTTGTACAGCAGTTGATGGGCTGCAACACGGCTGTAGGCGTGGCGGAGGATACGGCTTTCAAAGTATTTCTCCCACACCAGAGCCACAGAGTCTACGAGTGCGACTGCATTAAATGCTTCGACTCTGTTCAGGATAATGTCTTTGAGCACGCGTATGGTTGCCTCCGCAAAATTGTTGGTGTTGTGGCCCCTTGTCAACACGTCCAAACGGTAGAGCTGCACCCACTCTTCTTGTCGGCGCAAGAATGTCAGAACTCTAGACACGAAGGCATCGTGTTGTAGGGCCTTCACTTCGGCAGTGGCAGCTTCAAGTTTTTCTGCTGTGTCTGCATACATGACCTGCAGATAGCAGGAAATTTTTCAATGAGGTGCTCGTATTTGGATATTTTCGCTTTTTTTAAACTACACCATAATACAGATTCATGCTTCACTGTCTGCATTGAAGTCACTTTGTGATCTGCACATGCTTGCCCCAGTTCAAAGGGCCAGTAAACAACCCCTAAGGACCAAAAATCAAAAATATGTGCACCTTTGCTCCGTGAACATGCTGCCTCCTCAAGGATTTTGCAAATACTTTATTAAGGAATTCACAGGGGTTAGAACATTGGTTTCAGCTAGTTTCAAATTTTCGTGCGGTCTCGCCACCCTTCTCTTTCAAAGGGAGGAAAAAGCGTAGCCTGCCGTCGTGACTGGTTTAACCCAATCGATGAGCTGCGTGCTTCGTCAAGTCGCCGATCGGCGAATTTGTGTCACTGCGCATGAAAGGAGGATTGGTCAGGTGTAGGAAACGAGTGCGGGAATTGTTTTTGGAAGTGGAGGCTGTGCACGGTGCGCAGCACTGTAATCTGGAAATTGATTGCCGCGGTCTGTTCCACGAATTGCCAAGCGGTGGTCCATAAAAGTTGATGCTGCTGACATTTTCTGTACGCTTGTGTGAATAGGGAATTTTATGTTCGAAGTGAATTCGAAGCGAATAGTGATTTTGGTCGAATAATATCTAATTGAATTGTAATAGTATATATATTGCATATTATAAACAAAAAGGGGCATATTTGTCATGGCCAAACAAACTTGCACAGATCTTTAAAAATTGAAACAGGGCCTATGCAAAGGCCATTTTTTTTTCATCAAAGGAAGTGGCAACAACTTCGAATTGTAGCAGCATTCGACTTTTGGTGCAGTCCAAGTAATAGCCAGTAAAATATGCTGCGTTTCAATTTTTTTTTACTTAGAGCATATAAATCTGTGTAACGAGCTTTTAAACTGAAAACAAAAAAAAGCAGAATCGATGTCATTGTAATTCTTTATTAAAACCTTGAAGTGGGGCTTTGCTGCAGTGCGAATTTCTCTTGATTACGTGTTTTCACGGCTTAGCACCAATTCACTGCAGTGAAACCACTTTTACATGTGGTCTAATATGCTTGGGTAAGTGCTTTCATGGTTTAGCATCCCTCCACTGCCGTGAAACCACCTTTACAGAGTGTTACATGTGGACTAATATACACCTATTTTGTTCGTTTTAATAATTCAAAATTTTCAGCAATTTAACTTCGATTCAAATCAAATTTGATTACTGCATTATTCATTTGAATATTCAAAGCATTTGAATATTTGTACAAGCCTCATTTTATGGCATTCGAAATCATTTGAACCCACCAGACGTTTACTGGTGTACTTTTTAAATGTGATTAAAATGGACACAAATACTGTCTGCGTTGTCATCTGCAGATTAGGGCATCTTGTGCGGCATACACTCCAAATTATATCACGAGGAAGTGAAGGTAATTCATGCACTAGCCTTGCAGGACAGCTGTGCTTTTTATACACCTATGCTGCTATGCCAGCGCCATCATCTTGGAAACATGAAACGAATGCTAAAATAGCAGACCATTGTGAATTTGTTCACTAAGTGCAGATGCAACGAATGCACCTCGTATCTTAGAGCTAGAGTTACAACTAGATTGCAAAAAAACTTGCCAGTTGGAAGGCAGACATGAATCGTCTCCTCTGGTCTTTGTCGACAGAGTTGTGAGATGTCGTCAGCCAGCGCCACTCCGCTTGTGCCACATGAAAATGGCACAAAAGCTGCCTTGCTGACGGCCATGTCTGCTGCAGGGCGGCCTTCTCAGCACTCGAATTGTCACTCATGAGTACCTGTGGGGCCTGGCAGACAATGCAATAAAGTTGAAAGCTGTCCATAGTTATAAAGGCATAGAAAAGTCGTGGATGTTGTGAGAACAATTTTCGTGGGTGAATCTAAAAATATAAATAGCCTTGGCTAATAATTTTCTATTGAATTTGAGTTCGCTATTTGCTTTTTAATAAACTATAGAGAGCAGTAACATTTATGGTAAGTTTCAAGGTTAAAGACAAGTGTAAGTTTGCATCTGTTACCAGTATTTTAAAAAGAGGAGAGAGTTCGGGCAATAGGTCCACGAACTCACTCATTGGCCAACTCACACGGACTCACTCAGACTCACATTATGAGTCCGAGTCTGGATAAGCCCTATTTTTGTGAGTCGAAGTCCGAGAGAGTTTGTTTGAAGAAAATTTTAGTGAGTGTGAGTCCGAGCGGGTTCGGCTAAGCAAAATTTTGGATAGTCTGAGTCCAAGTGAGTCTAAAGCGCAAAATATATTTCTTGAGTGAGTTCCACTTTCTTTTGCCGACTTGAGGTTCCACCTAGACATTTTCAGCGTTACTCAGCCTTACCTAGATTCACATTTATACTCACATCTATTCATAGGTATTCCAAAGCAGTGTTTTTCATACACCGTTTCAATATTTATTAATTAGACGTTTGAATTATACAAGGGGGCGCCTTGGCAGTCCCAAACTAAGTCTTCCAGGGAATTTCTCGACTATTATATTTTAACATCTCCTCCAAGAAAAATGACTTTACTGGTTTGGAAGCACTCGGAACTCGTTTTCGAAGATGCTGTGTGAAGCGGCACCAAGAAGAGCACCGATTACATCAGATATTGGTGTTAAAGAGCATTGACACCACAATCAAAGAAGCTAATTCCATTCTGATGAACTCATGAGTTGACTCAGTAGTACTCACTCACACTCAGGTCCAGCCGTGAGTCTGAGGCTGAGTGTGTGCGGTTGAGTAATGTTTTGGTGCGTTTGAGTCTGAGTGAGTCCGGCTTAAGAACCTGTATGGGCCTGTACAAAGGCTTACAGTATTGTTAAATAAATAAATATGTGTGAACGAGAGTTTGGGTGAGTTCAGCTCAGAAAAAATTTTGTGAGTCTGAGTACAATGAGTGGAAAGTTCAATATACAAGGTGCATTTGATTTACCTGCACCAACTGAAACCGGTTCACGGCTGTGCATGCAAAGTTCAGAAATTGTGAAGCGCAAGTTCAGTGGTGCAGGCACAGTGCAACACCCAAAACGAATGACGATGTGCTGATGCAGGCCTTATTTCTGTTCACTTAGTTAACACCGTTAAGGTAACACTGACCGATGGCCAAATGATTATGCATACAGTTTATGAGGCACAAACTTCTTAGCAAAAAACACATCGTGTTAGTGGAGGCAGGTACGGTGCCTACACCAAAGTATTGCGTCGTCTGCTCAGCTGCACGCGCGGCTGCACCAAGCTGGCACTGTCAGTGTGGGAGGGGCGGGAAAATCGTGAACCAGCGCTGTACCTCTTCTGCACCTTTAGAAATGAATGGCAGGGTTCAGAGGTTGTCAATGCTGCACCGCTGAAACGAATGGCAAGACGCAGAACATCGTGAACTGGTTCACGTGGTGGAGGCAAATTGAACAGACTGATATATTTCATGAATGAGCCTGAGAGAGTTCCACAAGCTATGCCGACCTATGGTGTGGGCACATGTTTTAGCTTGAGAAACGCTTATCTAGCCTGAGTGAAATGCACAGAACAGGCACACTTCACCCACAATGATGGTGTCACATGGGAAAGATTAGAATTCATAGCCAAATGTGTGATGATGATGATGAGAGCATGTGGGTGATTTCTATAAATGCCCACAAGAACCACAAAGGCCCTCTCCTGTGGCTTAGTCTGTGCAGTATTGTTTACTTTTGTTTTTGTCACAAATAATTTCTGTCCTGGTACAACTTTTTTTTTTTGGTCCAGCTTAATGGAGCTATTTGCTATTGTGTCATTACTTACACTATGCGAATTCAGAAATGTCTTCAAAAGTAGTTACATAAGTTCCATAGGAAACTACAGGTTTTCCCGCTCACTTTGATCCAAGTGGCAGCTTAGATAATCTGCACGCCATTGAAATAATCTGAGCGCCAACCTCTTTAATCCATGTGCCAAACATTTAATCCAAGCCCCAACATATTTAATCCAAGTGCCAACTCAATCAGGCCGCGTGCCAGTGATTTTAATCCAAGTGCCACCATGTTTAATCCAATCGCCAATGGCTTGAATTCAGGTGCCAGTCAGTTCAATCCATGCACAAAAAGCACAATACGGGGCGTAAAAATGGCAATGCATTTGAAATGCAGTTTCTACAATATAAAATACTATAGTCGGAAAGTAGAATAAATCATTATTATTAGTATTCGCCGCTAGTATTCAAGGAAACAAAAATTCCGTGGTTCTCTTGAGCCATGTTTGCAGTGCTTATACTGTGCTATGTACAAGTTTGTAGATGAGTGCTTGGCCCGGGTGGAGTCATTTTAATAGCAATGAAAGAAAAAAGCAAGGATATTTTGTGTTCGTCAACAAAGCTCATAATTAGATTTGTATAGCATTACATGTCTGGGCCAGGTCATGTAATGCGGCAGACATAATATTGTTATTGGAGTGCCGGGATGCATAACAAGATATGAAGAACTTGACTGTGGGCAGTGATGAGTCAGAAACAGGTACATGCTCAATAAATTAGGGCAGAGCAAATTAGAAATCATTTAAGAGGCTTTCGTCCTGCAGGGCACATAAGACGCAAACTCGTGACCCTGATGTGGAAAACAGAAGTCATATTTTATATTCATATTAGTTATCTTTTATTCAAACAAAATTATGTGTATTCGATGAACGCGTGTTTCAAGCAAACACGCTTCAGGAATACTAGCGTTGTCTTTTTATATGAAAACAGGAGTTTCTCTTTTGATGCTTTTATAAAAAACTTAATTCCAAATGAACCGAAACAAATGCAACTTGAGTTTTAAATGGTTGTTTCTGATTTCAAGAACGAATGAATATCAAATCAAATCAAACTTTATTTATTTACCAGACAAAAACTGGAGGGTCGCCAAGGCTAAAAGCCGCGAGAAGGGCTTGACAAAGGCCCTGGTGACCATCTGTCTATCACCGTTATCACCGGGCTGAGCAGACGACTGCGAATGCCTCAGCGAATAAGTAGCCGAAAGCCGTCTGCTTAGCAGACGACACGAATCTATGCATATGGGATGGTGTACATGGTTAGCCAGAATAATGCAGTAGCGACGAACCATACACTGACTCTATGAGCAAATACTCTTAGTACCCATAAATGCAATTAACACACACTGTTCTTTTTTTATTTTGAAGCTATGACACCAAAATGTTAGGAGGAAATAGCAATGCGCACTTCATTTCATAAGCGCAAGCATGTATAGGTGAAGGAAAAGTTCTTCCTGTGACTTCATGTTTACGTTATTTTCACATTTATACTGTATAAAGCGGCAAACTAGTGTTTCTAGTGCGTGGATTAAAATGACTGGCACTTTAATTAGTCATTGGCAATTGGATTAAACTCACTGACATGCGGCCTCATTGAGTTGGCGCTTGGATTAAATGTTTGGCACATGGATTAAATAGCTCGGCGCTCAGATTATTTCAATGGCAAGCAGATTATTTAAGCTGGCACTTGGATTAAAGTGGGCGGGAAAACCTGTAGTTCAGATACTGAATTATAGTCAAGCCACGCATTGAGCACTGGCCTCTACATTTTCTTCACTAGTTGCTCTTGTAAGTTTGTGTTAACAATGCTATTGTAGAGAATTGGGATGGCATTAATATATAGCAATTCACTGTGCACAAAATTTACAATTTTGTGCCTACTTCCTTACTTACTGGTTGGCCTCCAAAGCAGAGAGGATGGGCTTCCTTGAGGAGCTTGAAAGCAGCCAGGTAGCCATCGGTGCTCTGCTCCTTGTGAATTAGTACTGCGAGTGGGACAGCACCAGCCTTGGTCGCAGTCAGCACCACTGTTACTGTGCATTTGGTGGTGTCGCATGAGGCAGTCGAATCAACAAAGACGATCTCCCTTGCCAGCTCGAGGTTATGAGCTCGTCGCATGATGGGGGTAACCACGACCACTGCCCAGCAGGCACTGCTGCCACCACGAGTCACACTTATGTGAGTGCCTGGAAAGTTATGTGGAATGGCAGGTGGTCTTTTAAGAACAATCTTCAGGCGCATGACTTTTAATGGCCATTTTGCTCTCTGTACAGTGCAAAGTGTTCCTGCAAAGTAAGTTTACCTCATTGTCGGAGTTTGTTGCCTCACAAATCAATTGCAGCAAAAATATTTTGACTCCTTGAAGTACGAGTGGAGTTCAGGTTTACTGCAATCTTTTTGTACTTCATTTATTGATTCTCCACGAGCACACTGTCAGCTACACAGCGAATTAATGACAAAGGGAAAGAGGCTACATCAGCGAGCATTGTTACACATTAGTATCAGATAGAGCAGGGAAGATGAGCAAAATCAAGAGAGCATGGACCCGTGCAGGTGCCCGCATTCCCTTATGAATGCGGAGCATTTCTTTGCGTACTGCATGCACTTTCGGTATCTATCTACCTATATATTTATCTATCTATCTATCTATCTATCTATCTAAGCCCTGCCGCGGTGGTCTAGTGGCTAAGGTACTCGGCTGCTGTCCCACAGGGTGCGGGATCGAATCCTGGTTGCGGTGGTGGCATCTATCTATCTGTCTGTCTATCTCTATCTATCTATCTAGCCGCTTACGTCTGGGTGCTCTCGTGATAATCTCCTTAACTTGGTGGGAACCTAAATTAATATGAGAGGGTTTGATGATTATGACGCGCTGGTCAAAACACAAATAACATTATATGCATTGTTAAACACTTCTTGTTAAACAGTTAAACAGTGGCACATACCTTGCCACAGCTGTTTGACACTTGGTATCTACCCAAAAACGACGAGAACACACATGGGCCATTGTAACGCATGAACGTTAAAGGGACTCTGAAACACCTTTTTAAGTAACCATGGAATGGATTCACTAAAAGAGCTTATTGCCTCACGAATTCAACGCTGCAAAAATTTTAAGAATACGTCCAGTATGAGCGGACTCGCAAAGATTTGTCATGCTGCAATCGCATTCGCTCTGCTCTCATCCCGGCGAAAGCTCTGGGAGCTAAGCCGGGGGGGGGGGGTATGGCATGGGCAAAAAAAAAAAATATGTCACACGTGCCTTTTGTCATTGAAAACTTTCTCTTTGTTTTTTTTTTTCGCTTTGAATACATGGTCTTTTCTGTGTGATCGCGAGCGCGCGTGGGGACAAGTTGCGGCCTCTCGCGGCGATCCCTGTAAGGACCGAACGCGCCATGTTAAAATCAGCGAATGGCTCATAGATGGCCTTTGAATGATTTTTCAGCTTCCTCCGTCATTTGTTGAAACGAGAGAAAGCAATTTTTAGCTGACTTTGGTCATTTATTTATTGCAAATTCCAAGCCGCGTGCTGCACTATAATATTTGGCCCGTGTGTTCTCGGGAGCCTCTTCTACCAAATGGCAACATTTTCTGGCCATGCTCAAAAAGTGTTGCAGGGCCTCTTTAAGACAAAACTGACAGCGGCAGCGTTTACTCGACAAACACAAAGAAAAATGTCAGGGTGCGAGCAGGGCCCCGCCGCGGTGGTCTAGTGGCTAAGGTACTCGGCTGCTGACTTGCACGTCGCGGAATCGAATTCTGGCTGCGGCGGCTGCATTTTCGATGCAGGCAAAAATGTTGTAGGCTAGTGTGCTCAGATTAGGGTGCACGTTAAAGAACCCCAGGTGGTTGGAATTTGCGAAGCCCTCCACTACAGCGTCTCTCATAATCATATGGTGGTTTTGGGACGTCAAACTCCACATATTAATCTATCAGGGTGCCAGCAGGAGTCGAACCCAAGCATAATGCGAGGCAATCAAGAATTCTACCACAGAGCCATGCTAGATCTCGGAACTATTTTTCAAATAGACCGTAATGTTCGTAAAACGTCAAATGTGGTTGCAGTGCTGGCTATGCAATCTCATAAAGATTACATATTTACTCCTATGCTACAACCTTTATGTTGTGTAAACGTGCATTGTAGTTAGGTGCCATGCGCAGAAGTGGATTTATGTACCAGTGTCCAGGGCTACCATCCTTGCAAGCACAAACCCTTCATATCAGCTTATCACTTCTGGTGTTGCTAATACTCATGTTACTGATGGCACCATTGTGCAAGTGCAAACAACTGGTTATAGAAACATCTGCAACTGTTCAATATGCATCTGTTCCTGCAACATTTGTACATATATTTAGCATCATTTCATAACATGTCGCTGAATAAAAAAATTACAACACGGCCACCTTCCCTCCGCATGCTTCACATAATGTGAAGTCCCAAAGTATATGGGATCTGCTGAATTTTTTTTTTGTTAGTTTCGCATCTGTCAAATAAGGTGTTCTCTGTTTCGGCTCTACTTCTCAGTCTTCAATGGTATGGCGCCAGGACCAGGATAAGATAGGTTTAAGATACCTGACCATCTTCCTGAACAGTGAGAGCAATCGGTGCCACCAAGCTAGGCGGAATGTGCCGCCATGCGAACGAACAGGAAGGAAGCGGAGCAAGCTGTTCAAAGAAACATATCAAGCCGTTCATCCAGTGATCAATATATGTCATAATTCAGTGTTCGTGCGGCTGTGTGTCTGTGGTACAGACTGGGCGGTGCATCAGTTATAGGCCTCGCAAACGTGTCAATTCATGTAAAGATTGGTGTTTGTAGTAATTTAGCCACACATTGTGCTAGGCATGGCTGCAGCATGCCTTCGTCTGTCGGATGTTACAGTCCTAAAATGCTGTTGTCAAAGGCTCGCACGGGAGATATTTGAGGCTTTTGCCATCCACCAAAGGGGCCATAGATGTGTGAGCACTCCGCTACTTAATCTGTTTGAAAAAAAAATCAATTTGATGTGACGCACATGACTGAAGATTTGTAATCTAACCATTTTTTTTTTGTATCCGTGTATCCTTGATTTTGTCGATTAAAATTTCAGTTGGCAGTCAGCGCCCATTTTTGTATCGCCTTCCTTTGTCCCGTTCTTGCGCTTTACGCTTCTTTTCTTTTTTTGTTTTCTCCCAAGTTTAAATGGCCTCTCTAGATTGACCTGTGTGGCTGACACTCTGTACAGCTCTGGTTGCTGCTGCTGTCATGCTTTCCGAAATTTCAACACTTCCTTTAATGACATTTACAACTAATCCTTTCAAGTAACAGCCAAGAAGGACAAAATGCCTTTGACAAAGATAAATACTTACATTGAAACATAGGCCGGCCAGTATGAGGCATCTCATCTCTTTTTTTCATGTTTTATATTTCACAATTTGTTTCCATGGGCTGACTCGCGAGCTTCATTAATGCTGGTTCCCTGTGAATTGATGCTCATGCAACGTGTCAGTTGGTCTAGATTGCCAACTTATGCCTTGAACCAAAAACCTTTTAAAAATAAGTCAGTGTCACTTTCAAAGAAAATAAATAACGTTTTTGTTATTTCTTTTATCTGGTCATGTATATGTTCTTCTTCCCCCCTTTCTTTTTCATCATTTTGGTTTTCCTATCAATCTGATCTGGTTTTCTGGTTTCGCCACTTGAAACTCCGACCACCTGTGCACCTCTTGGGCTTTAAGTTTGCCATACTCAAGGTTACTCCAAGTATTTGATGTTTCTGATTTCACAGGAACATAAATTCATCAAAAAGTTGTGGGTTTCAAAGTAAATACATCATTTCTTACTTCCCAAGAAAATAATGGTAAATGTATGCTCTGACTGGCAGGTGCAGTGTACAACCAAGCCACTGGCATGAATCACAAGTAGATGAGGCTTTGTGCTGAATGTGTCTGTAATTTGTCATAGCTACAACTTCACCATTCACACATTGAAAATGAGTGCTTATGAATACTGTTTTACGTAGAGGACAGATTCTCCCACAAGTTTAGACATACCTTGAGCTGCATACAAAGAAGCCTTTTCCTCCAGTTTCAGCACTGGGTCGATGTAGGTACCACCAAAACAGGCCTCCCTCCAAACGCTGTGCCAGTGGTAGACCGTTCTTTGAGGCGGATTTAAAGCCGCATTGGCCAGCTTTGCAGGGCCATCATCTTCCATAGAGAGCTTGCTCTCATGCAGTCTCCTTGCTTCACTAGGGGTCATGCCTTCGCTGAAGTAACGGAGGAATGTTTGCCTTGTTGACCTGGTGCCGCGAAGTAGCCGCAGAGCATCCGCTGAGTCGGTGCTGTGGCTGTGCCTGTCGTCGATTCGTATCACTGCAGAAAGAGGCACCTCTCTCTGCAGATACTTGTCCCTGCGTTTGGTGTCAAACGTGGCCAGCTTTATTTTTACGTCAACTTTGGCCATGCACTTGGCATTGCGTGGGCCACTCTTCTTGTTCTTTGTGTGATGCTGGCAGCGCCAAATTTTGTGAAAAGCCATCCTGCATGACACACATGGGTGCAAATGGGGATAAGCTCTTTCATAATGCACTGCTTTGTAAAATATAATTATCTAAGTAAGAATAACTAGAAGTACAAAACTCTTTTCACAGTTGCACTGCTGTAATAGCTATGCTTTTATCACATTTGCAGCTGGCTGCTCGTATGTTGTATTCTGTGCAATGGCATGGCACCGTACGATTGTATGAGCACCATATGAGTGGTTGTCGCACATCTCACTGGGGCACCCCAGAGGTGCTTCAGCCGCCATGCCATCATGAAGATGATGGTAGTGTTGAACAATCGTTTGGCTCGGTGCACGCCAGGAAAGGATTCTGTCTGTACAGACTGTTGACTGAAAGCAACCAAGAATTATTCAATACTCACAATAACCTTTAACTTCAGCAATTATGACATATTTTGGACTCCACAACTTAGTGAATATTTTTTTGCCTGACTTGACAATGTGTTAAATAAGTTGTAGTTGGTATTGTTTGCGACGGTCCCCTCTTCCCCTCCCGAGCCAGAAAAAAAAAAGAGGCATCTAGAATTTGTGGCAGAATTGCATAGAGACGGGCAGTATATGAACGTGACATTAACATCAAGTTGGGTATTTATACCAAGAGCCTGCTACAACACATGGCAAGTTCAGCTACCTACCCTTTTCAGCATCGCTGGTTAGGCCAATACTTGTAGCTTTTGCAGAGCCTGCTAGGTGAAATGACACATCATGTTGCAATCTATATGCACCAAGCAAAGTTTTATGGTAGGGCACATGCTTCGGTGCTGAAGTTGCCACATTCAAGATACTGCAGTGTGCGCATGTCATTGCAGTAGT